TATATCAAGTGAAATGATAACATGTGTTTCTTCAATGCAAGTGGAAAATGAAATAAAGGAAAGCATAAAAGAAAACAAAGGATAGGCAAACAAGGAAAGAGAAAGGATCGGAAGCAAAGTACAATCATTGCTGAAGAAGAAATAGACAAGGCAAAGCGAAATCTACCGGAATCCAAAGCAGAAAAAAGGGAAAGCAAACGAATCGAATCAGCGACTTCCGAAGCTATACAAGCTGGATCAAGCTATATGTAAGAACGCACTTTTCACACGCCAGAATGAAGGTTGGCAACATGGATGGATTCCAGAAAAACCCTGAAGTCTATAGGGCAATACGAACATATGGGTTCAATCGATTCATTGGCATATCAACTTTTGAGTTTCCTGCCAAGTTCGGGCTTCAATTCGAACGGCCATGCCGCGCCAGTGTTGTGGAACCGATGGAGGCACGCCGTGCACATTTTCCAAAGTTGGTGGCCCCACGCAGCCGAAACACGGACAGACTCGGTGCGTTTGGTGTGATCCACAGAATTTGGAGAAAGCGTGTGCAACAAAAGGAGGTCGAGCCCGGCTAGGACAACTTCTTCGTGGTATGCCAGAGGCCGCTCGTGAACAAGCCCTACGTCGATTGCCAGAAGAAATCCACGAAGAATACTTTGCAGCAGAGTTTGGTGCGCAGCTGAAAGATCCGGACGCATTCGCTGCAGAGGGCTCAGTGCTCAGCATGGATAGCGATGAAGATGAGCAGATGGAGCTTCCGCCAGAAGCTGAGATAGAATTTGATGCGGGCGAGCTGCATCATTCTAGTGGCCATCTCGAACAAGGCATAGATGAACATGATTTGAATGCAGTGGAACATGAAAGTGAAGACGGGGACCATGAAATTCCTATGTTTGAGCCCGAGCCCTTCGAGGATCGAATGGAAGAAGCAGGCAGCGAAAGAGCACAAGAGGAGCCAGCGCCGCAGCCCAAGAAGCGGCCTGCCAGCCAAAGAGCAAGTGCCAAGTCAAAGGCGAAAGTTCAAGCTGCGCAGAAAAAGCCTGCTGCGCGACAGCCTCGGCCGAACGAGCTATGTCCGGGCACCCCGGGTAAGCCTTGCACCTTTTCAACAACCCTGCCTGGCACGCCCGCGAGCATCCAACCAAAACGAGGAGAAAAGCATTGCATGTTTTGCAGTGCAGATGCGTGTGAAAGAGCCTTTGCATCCAAGCGGCCAAAAGTTTTACCTGTATTGAAGAAGCTGCCTCCGGAAGACAGATCCAAAGCATTGATCAACATAGAGCATTGGCAAGGCCAAGAAAAAGCTCACGAAATGAAGTCCAAACTGACCAATGCCAAGGCCAAGCCACCAAAACAAGAATGGAAGCAGTTGCTCGAAGTCCGAAAACCATTGAAGGCACCGATGGAAGAAGAAGAGCAGATCGAATATGAGCAGGCTGTTCGAAGAGATCGCCAAAGAGCCAGACGAAAAGTTATGTGCCCGGAGCACAAGGGCAAGCATGGCACCCGAAAACAAGAGGAAAAAGAAGTTGCAGAAGTTCGAGCTCGATTTGGCGAGATCGCCGATCTTGCGACCAACGACTGTGGCTTGCCCGCCCCGCAGGATCCAACAGCTCGCATGCTCGAAGCTTGGTGCAAGCAAGGATCTTGGGCCATGTGCACCACATGTCATTCGCTGCAGCCACAAAATCTGGAGCCGATGGACCTCAAGCGGGTGAAGAAGGCTACTATGACACCCAATAGGTGCACGGCCTGCCGCCATGAGGAGTACGTGCCTGCATTGGAGGATGTCCCGCTAGTTTTGCGAAACCTGGCACCGGAAGTCTTGCAAGCTTTGCGACCGCTCGACATCAACACAGGCGGGGTGGACGAAACACGTGTTTGTAATTCATTCAGCAGACATGATAGAAATAGAACATATATACGAAGTAAACTCTTCCCCTTCCGAGGCCCAGCCGTACGAGCAGATTACGGATATCGCGCGCACATGAGCATGATCTCTTTCGCATGGGCGCCCAGAAGCGTGGAGAGCAAGATCAAAAAGCTCCCAAAGGCAGATCGACGAAAAGCTCGAGCAGCTCTGAATCATCTCCTGAGCTGCAGAGATAGCGACTACTGCGCATTCTATGACAAGCATTTGGAATTCTTGAACAGGCACGGGAAAGATGCCGAGGAGAAGCTGCGCAAGAGGCCGCTTCGCTACATCGAGCAAGAAGGTTGCTTGCATGAAATTTGGCTATCGCAGATTTTTCTTTCTTGCCGCGTAACCCCCGAAATCATAATCAAACCTTTCGTTCCCCGATGCCACCGGAGAGAATAAGGTCTAGAGTGCGCACTATGGCCCCACCTCTACTGGCATCGCAACCTTTGCGAAACGGTGGCAAGAGCTTCGCATGAAACCCGACGGGCGAAAAAGCGCAAAGCCAAGCGCCAAACAGTGGATTCCGATGTGGAAGACACTGATGAGGACAGCGCGGAAGCCAGTGACGAAAGCAGCGGACCCAGCCCAGACATCCAGCAGAGCAAGATGGGCAGAATCAAGCGCGGCTTCATTCGAAAGGTGCTTTCCCCGGTCATCGGCTATGGCACAGATTACGAGCTTTTGCATTTCGTTTATGACCTCAGCATGTGGACCACGGTGGGAACCAAGAAGAACATAGCTCGACAGTTCGAAGTTCCGCTCCGGGTGGTCTTGGCTGGATGCCCATGGGCCCCACAATACTGGCACATCAGACACCTGGCCGTGATAGACATGCAACGTCAGTGCGGCAATGCAACTTTGTTCCGCACCCGGGCACCCTATGAGACGACATTTCCATACCACGAATGGGTGATGCACGAACAACGGGAGGCCGGCCGTGCTCGCATGCATTTGGCAGGAGCAGAAACTCTCCACCAAGCCCATGTCTTGCTCGAGCTGGACAAGGCTTTCATTGCTGGAGCTCGTGGGAAAACTGCCCGTTCTGACCGGACATGGAAGGATCATCTTCTTGGACCCGCCAAAGACAAAGACGTCCAGACCGTGATCAGCCGTGTCACCCGCCTTGAGTTCCAAGATGGAAAAAGAAAGAAGGCCACAAGAACTTATCATGGAAGAGGGACGACACATAGCCATTCATTGGACTTCTTGCAGAACATCAAAGACATAGGTCTGGAAAGCAAGATCTCAGCACATGTTCCAAACAAGGAGCGCCACCCGTTGTTGCATGGATTGGTCATGGATAGTCAACTGGATCGCACGAGCTCCAAGATTCCAATTCGAAAGCAAAAATCAAGGTTTGATGAGAAGACACAGAAAGTGCTACTCAAGCACACACCTAAAGACCACGACCGGCACGTGCGAGCATACTTCCCTCAGACAATGGAAGTCACCAAGTGCCACGAAGACATCCAACAACCAGACGGGAACGGCGCAGTGCTCCGCTATGTGGCTACCTACTCATTGAAGTTTAGTGATTCTATGGAAAAGGAATGGCTCAACGAGCAAGCTTCAGACTACAGCGTGGCCCGGCGCATTCTTTTCAGCTACCACCCACTGGAACCAGAAATGTGGCTTACCCTCGCGCAAGAAAGATTCCCCCAAGTGGACTACAAGGGTTCGCTGGTAGACCTCTTCGTTCCTCTGCCAGACACGGAGAACAAGCCAAAGCTCTTGAAGAACTACGAGGACGCAACATGGCGCAGCGACGACATGCCCTTCATTCAGTTCCTCCGGAAGAGCAACCAAGCTGGAGAGATCATGCGCCACATCAAAGAAAAGCATTTCCAATATGCTGCCAAAATGGTCGAACAGGCCATGATCGATGCAGAGGTGCCACCAAAACAGGCTGCCAAGCAGAGCACTGACCTAATCAAGCACTACAAGCGACAGCTCAAGTCGGATGCATCGCTGGGCTCTCTGGCAGAGTTTGTGGAGAATGAGTGGGATGTGTGGCTGCCAGAAGTGGAGGAGTTTGCAAACAGCTACAAACCCCAAGCTGAAAAGTTGGTGGCGGCCAGCATGTACAGTATGCTCAACGACCGCTACTACGGCCAGTGGCTGGTATTGCACAAGCCTTTTCGCGAACTGGAAGACCTCACAAATGCATTTGCCGATGTTGCAACCCAGGCGCCTCCACATTACAAGTATTTTGCCATGGCCTTGCACGCAGCTCCCGAATTCTGGGGCAACGATGGCTCCATCCAAAGCCAAATGGAATTGGAGGCCCATAGTCAAGCAATGATCAAAACTGTCTTGAGCAAGGTTCGGGCCCAAAGAAGCTTGGTTTGGAGCTGCTTCAACGGAGAAGTGGACCTCGACGGCATGGTCGACGCAGAAAGCAGCTGCGAAGAAAGGGAAGATGAGCAGGCCGAGCAGCCAAAGATCAATCTCACAGCATCACAGAAGAGATATCGTGAGGCCATGAAGGAGCCGATGCAACGTGCCTTGAAAGCAGCCAATGCAACCAGCGACGAAGAAATCGAAGAACTGACGGTTGAAGCCCAGAACAGCAACAAGATGTTGTTCGCCAACGGTGGCCCAGGTAGCGGCAAAACCTTTGCGTTGCACGATCAAATCAAGCACTGGGAAGCCCGAGGTGCTCGCGTACTCTTCGTGGTCCCCACTGGCCAGCTTGCAGCGGAGATGAAGCCCCAGCACCCCAACATCGATGTGGACACCTACCATGGCGGGCTCTTCTTTCACAAAGACCTCTCCGAAGCGCTGGGCATCATGACGCAATACGACCTCATCATCTTGGATGAGGCCGGGCCAGGGACCAAACCTCGAAACGAAGATAACATCGAGAAAGACGGCCTAGGAGTGAAAGATTCAAACAACCCCGTGCGATCCGTCAGCGCTCTCGCGCACCAAGGTTTCAATGCTGACCGCAGAGCAGTTCGAGAGAGTGGTTGCCATGTGGGCCGCCGCTGACAAGCTACCGTGCATCTTGCTGGCCGGCGACTTCTGGCAGATGCCGGTGGTGGACAAGAACGCACGGCGCTGCGACGAAAGCCCTTTGTGGAGATCCAATGTCCGCGCCATCACCTTTCGAGAACAAGTCAGATGCAAAGACCCAGAACTGCAGAAAACATTATCATTGTTGCGCACAGCAATTCCCGGCAAGCGTCAGTTGAAGCGGATCTTGCGCGGGCACAGGGCATGGACTAGCCACGCGCCCGAAGCGTGGGACATCTTGAACCTGTTGCGCAACCACCCTCAAACCACCATCGTGACATGCACCCGCAAAGCCAGCGGGCTGGTGAACGAGCTTGCCATCCAAGTGCTCTTCAAAGACCGTCACAAGAGACCGCTCGGCGAAATCCCCATGGACTTTGACACAAACCCAGATAATTACCTTTCCGACGGGAGCCTCAAGAAGGGCAAGTTGCACCCAAAGATGATGCAGGTATATCAAGGCGAGCGGCTCTTCTTGACCAAGAACCTGGACAAGGAGAATGGCTTTGTGAACGGCATGCCCGCCACGGTGCATGACTACGATCCAAGAAGCCAGTGCCTCTCAGTGATCACAAAGATGGGGAAGATGCTTGCGGTTCATTTGTACACAGAGGAAGTTCAAGACCACGGAAATGTGACGTGCTTCCCGGTCCGCTTGGGCTACGCCACGACGATCCAAAAGATTCAAGGGGCAACGGTGCCACATATTACCCTGTGGTTGGATAGGCCCGGGTGCCGCGCTGCCGCCTACGTG